TAACACCAATGAATACTCATTGGAGATTACTTGAGCAGTTCTGGATGGAAGCATAAGTCATAAATCCTCCTTATCAGGAAATAAAGAGAAGCAAGCGTAGTTAAAGTTACTTTCTTAAATTAACTTCAGTGGATACGTCCTGAAAACCTGAGCTCAAAATAGTACTACTACAGGGCGCTATGTAGGGTCCAACCACGAGCTTATGTTTGAAATCAAAGGGTAAGCAAAGGTATTCGACTAGAAACTATATGCGATATGAAGTTTTCAGAATTACATTGTTGGTCCTGTGCAAAATCCTATTCGCCCAGTAGATGTGTTCAGTCAGCAGTTGATTCCCTCAAAGATGCAAACACATTCTGCACAACGTGAAAAAGTAGTGGCTTCAATTCTATAGTGATATTAGCAACACCGTCTAAGACTATCAAAACAAAAACTCGTTACAGAACGCCAACTAGGAATCCATAAGAGGTTGGGACGACAAGCACTAACAGGGCGAAGCGCCAGCCAAACTGTGGCTTTTTAAAAGCAAGGCTACGCAGGGCTTCTGCAACACTGCAGTTCAACAAGTGAAACACTTAAAATTCCTCCAGGTTAGTACTCCATATGGGCATATAGATGTTTCTCTCGCATCTTTTTAGACTGATGAGCGTAGTATTCTTGCAAGCTAGGCTCACACCAGAGGTCACGCGGGTTGTGGTAGAGGGGGCAGTCATGCCAATGGCCGACCTCCCAGCCGGGCACATCCTTCATCAGTTCCTTCTCGTAGTCCCGGTTCTTAATAAGGTGTTTCAAGTACATGCGCTGTTGTTCGGCAATGAGGAAGGGCATCAAGGCTATGCGCACTTCACGGTTCTCGTTGAGGCGCGCCTCCCGTCGCGCATATCCCCAGTCACGTAGTTTTATGCCGGCAAAGGTGCAGGCATACAATGCAGCAATCAGATAAAGACCTGAAATTGAGGAATAGAGCGTAAGCAGACACAGTTAACCCCAAAAAAGCAAACATGGCATCAAATTTGGTAAAAAGGTTAGAAAGATTTAAACTGATTCCAAAGAATGTCTAGGTACGATCCGTATAAAATGTTCAATCAACTTAGTCCAACGTTATACTTTGCGCATATAAATAATTGGCAGTAAAGATTCCGTTTCAGTATTTGCGGGGGCATTCACTAGGAATTATGCAATTGGCTCTATGTTAAAGGTTCATCATATCGCTAACAATCGTCGCCTACCGCAGTCTGCCAGCGCTGCAGGTGATAAGGACGGAGATCTGTTTGAAGCTCTCCATATCCTCTTTCTTAGATGGTTATCTCGATCCCAGCCAAAGCGGAGTTCAAGCAACCTGATATAATGGGCAATCTCGTCTTCAAGTTGATGCGGCATATGGGTGAGCCTTATCAGTCGATTAATAGATGGAAAACCGTTGGTCACGTGTATTTACGATCGACTATTTGGCCTCTCTGGAAAAGCAAAAGGTGGTCAGCGGAAACAGCGCCGATCAAATACTTCCGAGAAGTGTACGTTTCCTAAGAGCATGGACCATAGTTCACTCGTGCACGTGTTAGTTGACGGAAGCTTCGTACATTTGCAGATAGATACTGCGGCCTAATTTGCACCGGAACCTGTAGTTTCGCTGTAGTCGAACGCATGTAACATGCGCTTGATTAATCCTAAGGTCGACGTAATACTTGTATGCCCGACAGAAAGTTCGATGACAAATGCTGGAAGGTGTACTAGCCAGAGAGCCACAGTCTACCGCAACCGTACGGGCCGACCGTAAAACCTAAAACGGTCATCTTCGTGCTGGGTAGACTTATTTGCAAGCTCTCCTTGCCTGCGTTCACACTTAGTGCGGACGAGTCCGTATTTGTGTAGAAGCTCTTTACAACCGCACACCAACATTGGTGCAGTCAACACCTTTAGTGTACGCGCTACGACCTGTAACATGCAGGCGATATGCCGTAGGCCAAATAACCTATTCACATACGTAATTTAATAGAGTGGGGAATGCATATATGAAGAACATATCAATATCGTCACATGTGCACAGGACTTTGGTCCGTTTAGTGCCAGTAGCTTTGAATCAATAGAGGTAACTACGGTTGCTGTGTACATAAAGTTTTTGCCATAGAACGGATTGTAATACACGGGGATTCTTGTAAAGAATCGGGGTCCCAAAAGCCGTTTCGATTATTAGTTCGAAGCCGCCACCTGTAATGCCAATTCAATAATTTAACTGCAAAGCAGTGGTAGCCAGAGAAACTTATCCACTCGTAGTTTACGATCGCCATGACAGTACATTAATGGGGCTTGTTGGTATTCTATAGAGCAGAGGGTGTGCCAGACTTTGGCCCTCAGCTTGCTGGAAAAATCGTCACTACGGGCAGTGACTGCATACTCTTCATATTCGAAAGCCTACTTATTCCGCAGGTAGCCGAGGGTTGTTTCACTATCAACTTTGCATGAACACACTAGGTAGCCAACAGCTAGACTAACAGAAAAGCCGTATTCAGGAGTGTAAATCATCAGAAAAAGAAACAAAGCTATCAAAACATACAGAAATTTGCCGCTAAATCTCGAAAAAAACTAGTAAACGTAAGTTTGGGGATGACAAAGGATCACACTAAATGAAAGGACAGTCTAAATGACCAGGTTGAGCTGAACTATCAGGCCGTAATGAAAATAAAAAGTTCACCGGATTTACACATACCGTTTAGAGGTTTACGAACGGTCTTATTAAAAACGTTGAACAGGGTGTACCCTCCCGGCGGAGGCATTTCTTGTTTGAACGTCGCCATTGACAATAAGTAGGTTGCTGAGTATGGAGAAGTAAATAAAGATGGTAATTACGAAACGAGACAAATACTATTTAAAAATTATAGTAAAATGGATGGAAGTCCCGAAAGCTTGCACTATATAAAATCGCGAAACGGGTAAGCATTTCTATTGGTCTGGGCAACCGCAAAACCTTAGATATTTAAGGCATCACAAAGGAAAACAAACGACGTACAGAGATGTCCGCAGCCCGCTAAGGTTAATCACCGTAAATGTTGGTGGTTCGAAGTAGGAATACGGTGCAACAGACAGTCATCGACATATGGCTAATATTAGCCACTTAAGCTACATTTTCCTTAAGGAACACGTTAGTTTCTGCCAAGCGGGTTTTTTACAGATTATATTAAATAATTCAGACAGGATTTTTCATAAATATCCGGAGATAAACTCACCAACCGTTGGTTTATATGCGAAATAAGACACCCGCCGGTTTAAGGAAGGGCGCCGCCGCCGAAAGCAGACGATGTCTTACTCGTTTCGCCTAAATTCAGGCTCAGTAAAAGTCCCAGATAGACTTCCGTTTTGAGATGGTAGTGCAGGATTTTACCTGGAAACTTCTTTTCCCATTTGCTATAATATACACGGTCATTGAAAAAAAATTTAAATAATAACTGCCGAACACATCTCAAAGGTATTTACCTATATTTCCCTAATAAAACTGAACTGAACCATTAATATTTAGTACGAGGTATGGCAACTATTCGTCAGGAAACCCCAGAGACCACAAACACTTCGACAGGATCACTTGCGTTTTGAATGTAAACAAAA